AAAAAAAAAAAAAAATGCATTTTACATCATGACCCACACAAGCATGTACTTATAACGAGCCAAAACAAAGTATTCATGAGATCACAGCTACCTTTACTATTTATGCTGTACTGTGAAATGTTCTATTTCATTAAAAAAATTTTTTTTTAATTTTTTAAAATTTATTTTTGAGAGAGAGAGAGCATGAGTAGGGGAGGGGCAGAGAGATAGGGGGACAAAGGATCTGAAGCAGGCTCTTCGCTGACAGGGGCAAACCCGATACGGGGCTCGAACCCACGAACCGTGAGATCATGACCTGAGCCGAAGTCGGACACTCAACCGACTGAGCCACCCAGGCGCCCTGTTCTATTTCATTTTTTTAAAAATGCTTATTTTGACCTACTAAACTGATTTCACTCCTTAGTCCTGGCCAAATGCTTCGTTTTTTGTTTTAAGAAGATAGAAGTTTATTGAATACACTGCAATGAAGGGGCAGGCTGTCTGCCCTGACCAAACATTTGGGAAAGCACTGTTAGGACACAGCTGCATAAAATGTGGCCCTTGAATGTATTTCCGGGAGCAGTGGTGTCACCCAAGAGTTTACTAGAGGTATAGCTTACTAGAGGCTCACCCCAAACCTACCGAATCAGAATCTGCATTTCTATAATGCTCCCAGGAGACTCACGTGCACACAAAAATTCGAGATGCCCTAGTCTAGGATGGCAGGAAGCCACTCTGTTAGAATTGACTGTTGGGGCGCCTGGGTGGCTCTGCAAGTTGAGCATCCCGCTCTTGATCTCGACCCAGGTCATGACCCCATGGCCATGGGTTGGAGCCCTGCGTCAGGCTCCATGCTGACAGTGCGGAGCCTGCTTGGGATTCTCTCCCCCTCTCTCTGCCCCTCCCCCACTGGCACTCTCTGTCTCTCTCAAAATAAATAAATTAATTTTAAAAAAAAAGAATTGTACACATTAACATAAGTGCCTGGAGACTCTCTATAAGTGAAGGCTATGAACTTGAGCAGCAGCATGAACACCTGTCGGAATACCCCAAGGGGCCTTCTCCCGTGTTGTATGCTGCGAGGGCATTGCAGAAACGTGTCCTCCCTCTGCCCACGACGTCTGAAAATCAGACGTGGCGCTCTATGGTCTCTGCCTGTGGCTTGTTCACAACTAGGAGCTTTGAAAGTCAATTTCTAAACGCAGAGATCTCAATTCTTCTGCAGCCAACCGTGGGAAGTTCACAGAGCTTTTTTTTTTTTTTTTTTCCCCAGAGAATCAGCTCCAGGAAAATGTGGCAGCTCAGGACCAGGAACTAAGAGTCTGAGGCATGAGGCCCCATCTGGCCGCTAGCTGCACAGAGTCTCAGTTTCTCTGTCCTCAAACGCGGCTGTGCTGGTGACCATCTCAAAACTGCCTCCTCAAAATCCCCTGAGCTGTCCCTAGAGGCTGCATCACCGCCCCCAAGACCCACTCCCTGGGACCTCAGCCCGGCTCCCGCAAGTGGTCCCAGGGCCTGTACTGCCTTCACGGCTCCCGACTCACCCCTGACCTTGGGGAGACCCTCATGGATGCAGCCTGGGGGAGGGAAGGTATGAATCCCCTTTCACTCTCCACTTCCGCAGAGGAAAGCCTCATTGTGAGTCTCCTTTTGTGCGTGCAGAGCCTGGGGGATCCAGCCCCTCCGTCTCAGCCCCCTTCCTGTCACTAGACAGGACAGTCACCCCCAGAGTGGACTCTGCCCTGCTCTACCGCACATCTTTGTCGGGCAAGTAAACACGGAAACGTAAGCTCTGCAGGGAACTTGTGTGAGCCACTTGGCACCCACTCACAAAGCTAAGCAAGGTTTGTTTTGTTCGTTCACCTTCCTGCTGAGGCAAAATCACCCTGCTGATGAGAAGAGAAGCTGGAGGTGGAGGAGGGAAGGGGGGTGGGTGACGGGGGGGTAAATGTCAGAGAGATGCCCAGCGAGGGAAACTCAATTTCCAGAAATGTAAGAAAGGGGCATGACATCACCACAGCCGTCTGAAAGGTCAACCCCTCACTGGGGGTCAGCAGTTCACTCATCTGGGACGCTGTTGACAGGCAAATGAGTCATTTAGCGCTCCCAGTCTTGGAAGACTGCTAGATATTTACCAAAGGCCAGGACTTGTTGCCTGAATACTTTCAGAAGTAAATATGAGTCATGAAATCTAAGAAGTACAGAGGACGCTGCTGGTGCCCTGCCCATGGCCCTTGGCTCTCACCTCTACTCTCTGATGGCCGCCAGATGTCGAATGTCAGCACCTGACTCTGCGCCTGACTTAGCCAGCGCAAAGGGCAACTTGGAAAGGGAAGGTGGGGATGAAGCCGAGCCAAGCCGGCTGGGTTTGCTAGCTCCTTCCCAAAAGGGGGTCTTTTCAGTTTGCAGTGGAGTCAGTGGAAGCAGCCTCACCCCATCACGGATGGGAGGCAGGTGAATGAAAACTCAGCTTCCTTACCCCCCGGCTGGGATAGCTCAGGGTGTGCTCTCACTGTCCCCGACAGGTCCCCCCCAACTGGTAGTGAGCCCCAGTTGCCCACCGTGCTACAATTTACATTTAAATTGGATTTCAGGAGCACCTGGATGGCTCAGCCCGTGAAGCGTCCGACTTCGGCTCGGGTCATGATCTCACAGTTCACGAGTTCGAGGCCCTCATCAGGCTCTGTGCTGACAGCTCAGAGCCTCCTTCAGATCCTCTGTCCCCCTCTCTCTGCCCCTCCCCAACTCGCACGCACACACACTCTTATTCTCTCTCAAAAATAAATAAACATCAAATCAAATAAAAAATAAATAAATTGGATGTCCTTCGCTCCTCTGTGGGGAAGTACTTCAGGGCCTGTTTCTGGAGAAATGTAGCCGAAGGCAGTAGGACTAGTATCCCAGGAGGTCTAAATCGGCACCCTGAGTTGAGTAACCAGGGAACAGGCTGGCTGGAGAGAAGAGGAAATTCTTGTCACTAGAAACGTGCAGGAACACCTGGTGACCGTCTCAGAGCGGCCCCACCGAAAGGGGCTTCAAAAAATTAAAAGTCTGGTGTAGTTGTATTTGCCAAGGTGATGACTACATTTTCTAAAGCCCCACTCCTCTTATATCCTCTTACCCAGTAACTCTGAGCTAGGCACCCAAAAGAGGGAGGTAACTGAAGGTTACTTGACTTTGGGCAGAACACAACTTTCTGGCCCCCAATTTCCTTATTTGGAATGCAAGTGAATTACCTGAGGGACACCTCAGGTCTCTGTTGATCTTCTAGGACTTGGTGTGCCAGTTAGGAGAGTGGACTTTGAATATGGGGAGGTAACGGGGGATGATAGAGGGCCTCGTGGGACCTGCAAATAAGCCCCCCCAACCACCACTGAGGCTTGGTGTCCTCAGCTGCCATGAGATGTCATCAAAGGTCCTTCTTCACAGCAACACTCAGGGTCTTCGGCTCTGTCCCCAAAGTCCCATTTTTCCTCATCACCACGGTTTGGGTTGTGAACAGAACCCAAATCCTACCCTCTATGTAACTGTTGCCAAACATCTCCTTGGAACAGCCCTGAGCTCCAAGCTACCTACCGGTCAGGGCTTGCACTCGGACGAGACGAAACAAGAGAGGTTCCTCACACAGAGCCCCTTGCCCCTGTCCCCACATCACACTCCCGCTTCCCTCCACTGCTGCTCTGAGGCGTGAGGGCACCCATGTTCTGTGGTTCTCTCGTATCCATGAGTCCCCGTCTTCCCACAGGCTGCATTCCTCGCTAAGAGAATGCCACACTGTTTCCAGCAAAGGCAGCCAGGTCCCCCCAAGGCCTGTGAAGTCATGCTCGCTGCTCTGTCCTGTCAGCAGCTCAAAAAGTAGGTCGTAGCCAGGAAATCAGAAGGGTATGAAATCAGTTAAGCAGTGTTCCAGCCCCTGGATGAGCCGAGCAAGAAGTGGCCTGGATGCTTCACAATCCCAGTCAGATGTACCCGCCCACAGCCACCCCAAGAACCGCCTCCCCCCACCCCCGATTAAGACCTCCCCCTGGCTATAGTCAGCTTGCTGCCTATCTTATGATTCCCTTGGCTTAGGAAGTACATTTAAAAATCTCTTAGAGGATGATCAGCAGGACCAAGGGTTGGCCTTAGCATGGAGAGCCCATGTGCTCTGGAGCATGTCACTTAGCTTCTCCACCCCTCAGCTCTGGCAACTGAAACAATCTACAGCCTGTTCTATGGTTAGGAGTTTCCTCGGGAAAATGAAATAAAAAGATATGGCCAATATGTCTCCCATGGCTCTCCTTGGGTGGGTTTGATTGTTTTACATATTCTTCTGCTTCCCTGCCATTTCCCAATTTTTGACAATAAGCATATGCGACTTTAGGAACAATGAAAATGAAGCATAATCATTTAAAAGAGAGTTCTACATACATACAACTATGGTTCACTGTTTCACCTCATCTGGCTTCCTCATTGGCAACATCCCCAATCCTTTGTCTTTAGGCTGGAAGAGTCCCCATAGCTCATTTGATCCCAACCCTCATCTTACTAATGAGGAGACTTCTCGTCTTCACCCTTGACCATGGCAGCTGCCTCCCCGCAGTGAGAATTCACATTGACCTCCTCTGACTTCCTCACCAAGGAAAAGTTACAGAAAACCCAGCAAAGAAATAGCAAATGGAGGGAAGGTAGTCTCTTGGGTAAGAAGTCCATGTGTCACAATTCTGTCCTTTAAAAACATCAGCCTCTGGGGCTCCTGGGTGGCTCAACTGGTTAAGCATCTGACTTTGGCTCAGGTCAGGATCTCACAGCTTATGGGTTCAACCCCCACGTCAGGCTCTGTGCCGATAGCTCAGAGCCTGGAACCTGCTTTAGATTCTCTCTCCCTCTCTCTCTCTCTCTCTCTCTGCCCCTCCCTGGCTTGCATCCTGTCTCTCTGTCTCTCAAAAATGAATAAACATTAAAAATTTTTTTTCAATAAAAAATATAAAAACATCAGCCTTTCTCCTCCCCTCTACTCACGGAGTCTTCCTGGCAGCTTGCAGATTCCCCCTTCACCCAGCAAGTCCATTCCAGCTTCACATTTGGCCTGGATGCCTGGGGGTGGTGTGGCTGCCTCGGGGCTCACAGAAAAACTGGCCAACTCTCCCTCCTAGAAAGTAGAAAAGCCGGGGCAGTCAAAGAAGAGCCTTCTTGGTGAAGGCTCAGCCATCCTTACATGTATTAAGATTTTTTTTTTCCAATGGAAAGAGCAACCATCTGCCTTAAAGGTAGGAACCATGTATGCCCTTAGCTTGGTTCCTTCGACATCTTGTACGCAGCGGGCACTTGATCGATTTCACTTTTCTGATTCAAGTTTTTCACGAATGTGCCGAACCCCACCAGAAGGCTCCCCTGCCAAGATCTGATTGTGCGCTGAAAATCTAAGAGCCTAGGCATGCTCTCTGGGACCTTGGTGAGAGGACACAGGGGACCTGAGGGGCCAGGATAAAAAGATCTGAAGTCAGAAATAAACAAGCAACCAAGTAAATGCTGTTTTCAAGAGAGAAAAGGGAAGGATAAATTTCTAAATCCCAAGGTCCCACCAAGGGAAGCCTACATCTTTACAATTTTACAACCAGCTTCGCCCCAGAGGTATTCGGTTCATCCGTTAGGATGAGGGCATGACAAAAGTGACAGGATTTTGTAGAAACAGGAGGATCCTTGGGACTTATGCCCAGTCACAGGTGCCACCCTGTGAAAAGCAAAAGTGAAACCAGTCCCAGCAAGTCATTTTCCCGATCTAGGATCTTCAAGAGCTTCATCTCTTGGTGTCTGAGGAGGGCAACCTGCAGTGAAAGACTGGGGATTTGGAGCCACACAGCAAACTCCAGAAGCCTGCAGAGGAGGATTTGACAACTTTTGGGGTAGCTCTGAGGGCATTTCTGGCTGGGACCCAGCCCCCCTGCTCCCATGGGTGCTGTTTCCCAGGTAATCCAGCCTCCAAGGTTGCCACTGGGAGGGAGGGCTTGCCAGGCTGGAGAAGGGTCTAGGGTCTAGGGCCTGATACTCACAGGAAGCCTCTCGTGGACTCTTCAACCCTCTTCCAAGCATTCTAATACCAGCCAATTCCGGGGTTTTAACTGCCTGGGAAATGCCAGCCAGGGAGCTGCTGAGAGGGGTCTGGGCCTCAGCAGGAAGGCCAGGGGAAAGGTCTGATAAAATATGGATATGTATCTGAAACTTGATCATGGAGAGAGGAGGTGGAGAAAGGCCTTGGAGGTGGGAAGAGGGAGCCCAGCTCTGGGGCGGGTCTGAGGCTGCTGGGGAAATACGGCAAAGGCAGAGGGACTGCTAAGGAGTGAGGGGGGTGGGGGGAGGCCTCCGCGGTCGCGTTTGCCAGCTGTGAGGGGCTGGTTTGTGCAGGAACCTCCTGGGACATCACAACTGGTTGATGGAGGGGTGAGGAGGAGGTGTGCAGGAGCAGTGTATAACACAGAAGGGCTGGAGGTGAGTTAGGAGGAGAGAGGGCCGGCGAGAGAGGGATGCAAGGTGAAGTTTGGTTATGTGTTGGAAAGCGAGATTCCAGCCAGGAAATAGTTCTGATAAAATGAGTATGGAACTTGATTGAGGTAATGGAGAAGGGATGGGGGGCAGGAGGCTCAGTTCGCGCACTGCGCACTGCGGACTTCAGCCCAGCCGCTGGGCTCTTACCTGCATCACAGGTGGAGAGGTGAGGGAGCCACCGGCTGTCCGTCGTGAGCGCTCCGCCGGCTGCGGCTGCTGGGCCTCCTTCCCCCAGCCCCTAACTCGGCTCCCCAAACTGGAAGGTGGCCTAGGAGGAAATCTCTTTCGAGAAGAGAAGCGCCGGGTGGCCTCAGGTTCCCGGGCGAGCAGGCTCACAAGGGCGCTCCGGTAATCTCTATCCTTCCGGGAAACGAAAACGAAAGAGCGGGATCCGGCTTCCACTCCCGCCCCGGCGGGCTCCGGGGAGGCAGGGGCCGGCCCTTGCGGGAGCAGAGCAGCGGGCGCTGTCTGCTTGCCAGCCCGGAGGCGTCGGTCCTGCCGGCGTGCCCCCGCCAGTGGACGGACCCTCCTCGGGCCAGCCTGGCCCTGGTTCCCAGGGGCATGGAGGTGAGATGCTGCGGGATCTGGGGAGCCGAAGGAACCCCTGGTCTTGGGCTCAGGACAGCAACAGACCACCTTCATGTCACCCCTGTGTGTCTCCGCATTTGGATGGGGACGGGTCCTCCGATGCTGTCCGCCTGGACCAGGTGCCTCGCCCCTTAGGGATGGGTGACTTTCTTGGCCCTGACCCCCGCCTCTGCCTGCCGTTTGGCCGGCGGAGCCCCACCATCAGAGGGGCTGTGGTACCCCCTGCTGCCTTAGACCCCAGTACTCAGTGGAATCCCCCTACACCTTTTCCCAGGCCGCTGGCTTCTCCAGGCAAACCAACACACTTACCCGAGGAAAAGGAGAAAGCCTGACCTTGTGCAGAAATTCCCAAGGGGTAGATGCTGTTGCAAATGCTTACTTAGCACTGATACGCCATGAGCTCCTAGAAACTAGTAAGAACAAGGCCAGAAACCCAACAGAAAAAGGAGCAAAGGATATGACTAGAAAGTCCTCCTAAAACAAAATGCTGAATGGCCCCGGAATATAGAAGATGCTCAGACTCACTCATTATTAAGGTGTGCAAAATAAAGTTTTCTGAGATATCATTTTTTTACCTGTTAATCTGGCAAAAATTCAAAAGTCTAATGACATAATCCACTGGAGAGGCCGAGAGGAACAGAGAACATTGGGCAAGCCCACGGAAAGTAGTAAGACAAGATCTGGCAAAGTTACAAATGCACATACCCTTCGGCCAGCAGTCCCACTGCCGGAAATGTGTTCAATGAATCCAACGCACCTATCCAAAATGTACATGTTGTTTATTTCAGCATGGCTTATGATAAGGAACAATTAGAAACGATCCAGGCATCCATTAAAAGGGGGCTGATGAAATAAATTATGGTAGATCCATTTAACAGAACACTGTCTCATCTCTCTGTGAGGGATGGCAAGTTCTCCAAGAGGCAATACAGCATAGTCTTTAGGAACCTAGACTCAGGACAGTCCACCCGGCTTAGAATTCCAGCTGTCATGGGGTGCCTGGGTGGCTCAGTCGGTTAAACGTCTGACTTTGGCTCGGGTCGTGATCTCCTGGTTCGTGGGTTTGAGCCCCACATCTGGCTCTGTGCTCACAGCTCAGAGCCTGGAGCCTGCTTTGGATCCTGTGTCTCCCTCTCTCTCTGTCTCTCCCCGACTCACACTCTGTCTCTCTCCCTCTCTCTCTCTCTCAAAAATAAACATTAAAAATTTTTTAAAAAAAGAAAAGAAAAGCAAGAGTTTTCATTGAAGCCTTTTTATATGTTTTGATTTTTTTTTTCAACGTTTTTTATTTATTTTTTGGGACAGAGAGAGACAGAGCATGAACGGGGGAGGGGCAGAGAGAGAGGGAGACACAGAATCGGAAACAGGCTCCAGGCTCTGAGCATTCAGCCCAGAGCCTGACGCGGGGCTCGAACTCACGGACCGCGAGATCGTGACCTGGCTGAAGTCGGACGCTTAACCGACTGCGCCACCCAGGCGCCCCTGTTTTGATTTTTAACCATGGGAATAAATACCTATCAAAAGAGTAAAAATAAATAAGAAAGATGTTTAAAATTTTGTTTAATGTTTATCTATTTTGGAACTGTATAGGCATGGCCTGAGACAAACTGAAAAAATGAGGACGTTTCCCTTTGGAAGGGAATGCTACATATGATCAAAATCTACAAAATTTTGAGCCCATATGACAGAAACAAGTGGAAACCCTTCTTCACAAAAGGAACATGCACAGGTGTTTCATGCTCAAAAATATAACAATATTTATTTCATTTCTTAAATTATTAATTTTTAAATAACACTCTTCCTACAAAGAACTCGAAATGTATATATGGAACTTATAATTTATAACCAGAAACTTTCTTAATGTTTCCAAAAGGGGGAGAAGAGAAGGAAGGTGAGGTAGACGGAGAGGTCTAAGAACAGGGCACTGCAGGTCTGGACACAGGCAACAAGGGTGGGGCCAGCAGGTTGCTGGAGGGCCCAGCACCCAGGGAAGGGCCAGGAGAAAGCACCCATTTCCGTGACCTCTGCTTTGAGAACAAGGTTCAATTTCACTCATGAAAGAAGATGCTTCAGGTTGCTTTACAAAGAGCACCGGGGACCGTCCACAGCACTGGTGGTGGAATTCTAAGTGGCAAGGCCCCCTGGGGCTTTACCGGGAGGCAGTCACAGACGTCTCACAGCAGGTGGCTCTGAACAGACAACCGGCCAGTGAGTCTGCAGTCCTCCAAGAAACCGGGCGTGAACCAACAGTGATGAGTAAAAAGAGAGGGAGACAGAGAAGGGTCTGCTTCCATCTGCCCCAGTGGGATTCTTGTTTTCTCAGAGGTTAGAAGGTGGCATTTACATTTCTTTCACATCCAACGGATATTCCAGAGAAAGCGCTGCAGTGCGTGAACTCCTCCAAAGAAAACCAAGACACAATGAGCCAGTGCCTCCCTGACTTCCTGCTGAAGAAGATCCTGTTGATCAGAAGAGCGAGAGAGAAGCTTTTTTAAAAAGTTGATAGAATAGGGGCGCCTGGGTGGCTCAATGGGTTAAGCGTAAGTCTGACTTGGGCCCAGGTCATGATCTCACAGTTCGTGGGTTCGGTTGGGCTCTGTGCTAACAGCTTGGAGCCTGGAGCCTGCCTCGGATTTTGTGTCTCCCTCTCTCTCTCTCTGCCCCTCCCCAGCTCATGCTCGCACCCTGTCTCTGTCAAAAATAAATAAACTTAAAAAAAATTTTTTTTAAATCGATAGAATAATCCAAAGGTAGAAACTCAATATTAATTCAACGAATGCCACAAACAAGCTTCCTGGGCTGCTTTATGAATTGTATGAGCAGGAGGATATCTGGGTCTGTTCCTCCACCCGCCTTGGGAAGCTTCGTCTGGATTTATCTTTTCCATCCGAACCATCCGCACATGGGGGCACTCTTTCCGGGGCTGGTAACCTCTGCCTCTGGCTTTGCAGGGCACTTTCTTAGTCCTTTCAAAGAAGCCAGGTGTTTGCTTTGGGGTTGGAAGAACTGATAGGACTCAGATGAGCGTAGGGGGGAGTGAGTATGAGCGAAGTGGGAGGTGACAGCACAGCAGGTTTGTGGAGGAGTAAGTAAAGGCCGCTGTTTATTCTGGAACATCAGAGAAGAACACATGGCTCTCCCTGGCCCTGCCCCTCCTCCTGCAGTCTATTCACCACACAGCAGCCTTGGTGAACAGTGAAATGTGCCTCCTGTGCTCGGTGCTCTCCCATGGCTCTGCTTCAGTCCTCAGGGGGACCTGGGATCCTGCCTACTCTGCCCCAACCAGCCGCTCTGACCATAGTTTTTACTACTTTCTCTCTTACTCAGCTTCCTTCGCTGCCTCCTTGCTCTTCTTCAAACATGCCAGACACGCTCCTGCCTCCACGTCTCTGCTTCCCACCCCCCTTCCGCCTCCACTGCTCTCCCCCTCCAGAGATGCACGGCTCCCTTCTACACCTCTGTCAAGGTTTCACTCAGAAGTCATCCTCTCAGTAGTGAGGCCTTCCCCCTCTACTTAAAATTGTAAACCCCCCAACACTCCTCCTTCCTTTCCTTGCTTTATTTTTCTGCACAATATTTGTCATTGACTGATAAACTGCATACTTTATTTGTCTGCTTATAGTCTGTCTCCCCTTTTAGGATATAAACTCCAAGAGGGGCCCCTGGGTGGCTCAGCTGGTTAAGCATCTGACTTCAGCTCAGATCATGACTTCACGGTTTGTTCAAGCCCCACATCGGGCTCTGTGCTGTCAGCACAGAATCTGCTTCAGATCCTCTGTCCCTCTCTCTCTCCACCCCTCCCCTGCTCTCTCTCTCTCTC